ATCCTTTTTTGTATTTGTTCTTCTATCTTAGTAGTGTTGAGAGATTTATCTTCTAGCTTACTAATTCTAGCTTCTATCTCTTCAATTCTACTCCTTTGCCCTTTCAATCTATTGTCCATTTCTGATACTCTATTATTAATCGTTTGGACCTCTTTCTGTAGGTTTTGAAATGTTTCCAATGCTGTATCTATCTTATTTGATTGTTCCTATAGCACTTTCCTGATTTCTTCCTTATTTTTCTCAACTGCATTGTATAGTGTTTTGATACATTTTATAATCATTTTTTCTGAATTCCTTCTCAGGCATTTCCAAAGCCTGCCCATCTTCCAGTATGGAGTGTAGATTTACTTCTAGCTCATTTGCCTCAGGCAGTTTATCTCGTTTCTGGTCATGTGCAGATATGGTCGTCTGCTTCTGTTTTTTGGGCATCTTCAGGGGTTATCTGTGGACTTAATACTCAGATGGGTATGAATTTTGGTAATTTTTAAGCTTTCTGAATCCCTCCAGGTAGATATGATCAGGAAATGGGCTTCCCTTTTCATTCTTCTTCCTGGGAAGTTTCAAGATACCACTGTTGGTCATTTTGACGTAACTTAGAGGATTTAACTTTTGGCCTATTTCCTCTTTTGTCTGCTTGTGTCACTCCACAATCCCCGTTCAGTCCTTTTTTCAGGTTGGACACAGTTCAGGGCCGGCTGTGGCAGTTTGGTTTTAATTGGAAACTGTCTCTTTAAATTTCAAGGAGATCTGTGTGCATGCATAGTAGAACCCTCCGAGGGTGGGACTGGGGTACCCAGCAGCTCAGGCACCCCTACAGTCACCAGAACGGAGGTGCACAAACAGCAAGGGACCAATGAACAGCTACCAAAAGAAAATAATGTCCACACCTTTATCTCAGCGGTTCTGCCAGATGTCTGTGGCTGCTCAGAATCATCCCTCGCTTGGTCTCACCCAAGATGGCGGCTCCTGGAGCAGCCAAGTGTCCCCGACTAGAAAGCAATAGATTTATTTCTTCTGCCACAAATTCCCCCAGCTGTAAGCCTTCCAGCATTCTAAATATTCCTTTATGTGTGGTTCAGAGTTCTGGGACCATCCCCTGAGCCTGCTCAGTTGGGTATTCTGTGTTGTTGTTGGAGCTCTTTACTACACGTCCACCTGATCTGCCATCTTGTTTGTTCCCTTCAATTCTGCTTTGAGGAGGAAACTCTTCCTCAGTTGTATTTTGTGTGCCTTCCAACATGAGGTGCTCATCTTCCTGCACTATATCTGACAATATTCTGGTGATCTGCCTCATATTTCAATATGAAGTGTTCTGGTGCTGACATTGTTCCATGGCTATTCATAAGGCTTTCAGTGACTGAATGTTCTAAAGTAGACTGTCTTTCCTTCTTGCTAGTCTGGAAGTTCAGCTTTATCCTGGCTACCGTGAGTGTAGTTTCCAGAATCACATCAACACTCAAGCCTCCACAGTATGACAAACTGACATACAAGTATTGGTCATTGAACATCATGAACCTTCATTATTGTAGTTTGATTCTCTGTGTCAGAGAATGATTAGATGGACATTGTCTGATGGACATTCTTGCTGAGAACTATAAGTAGTAGAGGGTAGGAAAGTAGACCAAAGGACTGGACTTACAGTTGAATAATGAAAAAAAGAGTAATTGGAGAGGATAAATGCAGGCAAGGAGGTTGTTTGAGCAAAGAGAGCAAGTATTAAGTTGTAGTATTCTTCCCTGAAGAACTTTTGGCATCTTCTCAATGTTTCGGAACACCTGTAGGATTATCCAGGTTGTTCGTTGAACATTTTGTTGAATACCTTTTATGTACCACAAATTGTAATAGACATTAGACTTCCTAAAGAAGGACACTTTATTTCTTAAATACCTCAAAATGACTACCAAACCATCAGCAAACCACAGGTTGTTGGAAATTTCATTATATGGTATAAGTTGAGATCTGGTGTAGTAATGAGGGTTTTTGGTGTTTCAGGTGGAAGGCATAGCAGTTGGGTTCATGAGTGTGTGCTCGAGAGTCAACATGCAACTACTACACGAGTGCTTTGACTTGAAGCCTTTCCACGGACTTTGCCACCCACATCCCAATGACATCCTGGAGCCACCGCAAGAGCTAAGTGTTCAAGAAAGTAAAGGTACAGTAGCCATTGCAGGATATCTGTAAATTAAAAACATGAGTTACAAAAAAGTTGCACTTTTTGATAGATGACAGGACTAGATGAAATATTTGATACCACTTTCTGTGAGCCCCTTTAAGGAGTAGTTCCCAAGGTTCATCACATTCTTGTGTAAATATATATGATCCTGGATAGTGAAGAGTTCAAGGTATTGTTAGACATAGTGGACATTGCAATTTAAGGTTTCCTCAATTCAGAAATTATGTAAGCATAATTTACTGTAGATATAAATGTTGGTTAAATGTTGTTGTTATGTGCCGTGGTGTCGGTTCCAACTCATAGCAACCCTACACAGGGTTTCCGAGGCTGTAAATCTTTACAGGAGCAGACATCCTCATCTTTCTCGAACTGGTAGTTTCGAACTGCTGACCTTGTGGCTCTCAGCCCAATTCGTTACCACTATAAATAATGACTAGCTTTTTAGGATCTTACTCATATGCACACACACACACATCCTAAGTATGTTAAATGAATTTTTCAAATCAAGAATTTAGGAAATTCTGTATTCCTTTGAGTTTTAACCTCCTCAGTTAGTCTTTCTGTATTTGTCTTTGACAAATGATTATGTAATATAAGACTGTTACAAATAACCATTAATTTCCCTAAATTATTATTAGCTATATGAGATAATAAAATTGATTTTGGAATAGTCTATGTGTCAGCGTTTTCACCAAGTGAAATCAGAATTTCAAACTATGCTGTTTTAATTTAACAAGGTCTTACTGCATCCATGGCTATTGTTATAGGGTAGACTTTGGGTTTTTATGTCAGACACATGTAGGTAGGCAAATAACCTTGAGTAGTCTTATTCTCCTCTATAAGCCCAGGTTTCTTCATTGAAAAATGGGAATAATATTAATGTCTTCACATAGAAGAGTTGTAATGTCTCACTGAGATCACCCACATAAAATACTTTATGCATCATCTTTAATCACAAAAGTATCTCAAAGTGTTGACCATAATTAGTGATTATTTTTGTGTGTATGATCCTGTGTGGTGCTGTAAGATAAGCAATTGACTGTTAACCACAAGATTGGCATTTCAAACCCACCAGCTACTCCTTGGAAACCTTATACAGGGTTGCTATGTATTGTACTTCGGACACATTATCAGGAGGGACCAGTCACTGGAGAAGGATATCGTGTTTGGTAAAGCGGAGGGTCAGAGAAAAAGATGAAGACCACCATTGAGATGGATCGACACAGTGACAGCATCAGTGGGTTCAAATGTAGCAATGATTGTGAGATTGGCTCAGGATAAGACAGTGTTTCATTCTGTTGTGCATAGGGTCGCTGTGTGTCGGTACTGACTCGATGGCACCCAACAACAACAACAACAGTGAATCAGAACTGACTTGATGACACTGAACAACAACAATTTTGACCTACTTTAATAATCTCAGGTTAAATACAGGGCATTTAGAATTGTTCTGCTTTCTCACATCTGAAAGACTGTATCAAAATTGTTCAAAAATAGTAACAGGAGCAAGCTATGTTGTGGTAAATATGGATTTGTTCATCAGAATAAGGACAGGTAGTGATTTGGCTTGATCTAACCCTCTGAGCTGGAAATCTAGCATGTGGGTTGGGTCTGTGGTCTTAGATGACCTGTTAGGTATGGCCCTAGGAAATGAGACTCATGCTTAAAGGCCATAACATATAGAATTTAATTTTCACAGGTTCCTAGGAGAAAACTTCAGTATCCCTTAACACAGAATGACACAGGGAATTACACCCAGAGTCCAGCTAGACTTAGGAGAGAGCTTATGGTTCTCAGGGATAGCATGCACTGGTCTTATTGGTCAGTTAAAAAGTTTCTAGTGCATTCGTGTGGAAAAAGTGAGAAGCTGGAAGGAACAAGGAATCTTTGAGAGACTGGATTCCAAATTTTAATGAGTCTGTACCATGGGAGACCTGGAGAAATCCCTGAGAAGGCCAGTTAGAGCCCAGAACTGTTAAGAGGCTGTGTGAGAAAATAGGAAAAGCCATGTCAGAAACAGGATAAAAGGGCAACTAGGAAGAATTAATGGTCCTGGTGTGGTACTGTAGGATGAGCACGAGACTGCCAACCTCAAGGTCAGTGGTTCAAACCCACCAACTGCTCCTTGGAAACCCTATCAGGTTGCTATGAGTTGGAATCAACTCTAAGGCACTTAGCAACAATAACAACAAGGAGGAATTAATGTGGCACTGTAGGATAAGCACTGGACTGTGAACCACAAGGTCATCTATTTGAACCCACCAGCTGCTTCTTGGAAATCCTATATAGGGTTGCTATGAGTTGGAATCGACTTGATGACACTTAGCAACAACAACAGCAACAACAAGGTAGCAAACTTCATGTAGGCTGTAAAGGGGCCTTATGACACCTTTCCAAATAGAGGTCATTATTGTTGGATAGCGGAGGTTGGCATTTCAATACATTCTGTGAAGAGGTACTATAAGAGTGTACTGAAGGAACTTTTCAATATGAGACAATCCTTAAACATAAATTATTATTGTTTTCAAATGCATACATTCTCCTTTGAAGGTAGCATTAAATAGGAGACTCAATTTTTTCTTTTTTAACTTTTTATTGTGAATTGAGTGAAGATGTGCAGAGCAGATCAGTTTCCTATCCAACAATTCATGCACATTGTGTTTTCATGTCATTGTTTGCAATCCCCACAAGGTAACATCACTTATCCCACTTCTCCTGTGCTTCCTGTTTCCATTCTATTGTTTGGCTGAAAATTGAGCCATGGCAGAGAGTTCATTTCCAGACCAGAAAGATGAATAAGGGCTTATTTAGCATTAGAGGTTCCACCAAAATAGCCTCTTTGTTTATTTTGACTGGATAGTGTACTTTATTGATGGTGCATGACAAGACTGTGCTCTCTAAGCCCCTCCCTTCTCCAGGGGGTCTGGATGGAAACTTGTGAAGACTGGAGTTTCTCAGTGTGTTGGGGGATAGAGTTGGGGTCAGGACTCCCAACAACTGAGGGCCTCTCTCTTCCTCTAGTGCTGTTGCTGGGGCTGTTGGTACAAGGGCTTTTATTCCCTGGAAGCCATGTAGACTTTAAGATCCACCACCCTGTTGCTATAGCCAAATTCATTGTCATACCAGGAAATGAGCTTGACAAAGTGGTCATTGAGGACCATGCCAGTCCCAGCATCATAGGTGGAAGAGGAGGTGTCACTGTTAAAGTCACAGAAGACCATCTGGTCTTCAATGTAACCCAGGATGCCTTTTAGGGGTCCATCTGATGTCTGCTTCACTAGTTTCTTGATGTCATTGACCTCCAGACAGCAGGTCAGATTCATGACAGACACATTGGGAGTGGGGATACGGAAGGCCATGCCAGTGAGTTTCCCATTCAGCTCAGGGATGACCTTGCCCACAGCCTCGGTAGCACCGGTAGATTCAGGGATGATGTTCTGGGCAGCCCCACGGCCATCACACCACAGTTTCCCAGAGGGGCCATCTATAGTGTTCTGGGTGGCAGTTATGGCATAGACTGTGGTCATGAGTCCCTCCATAATGCCAGAGTTGTCATGGATGACCTTGGCCAGGGAGTGCAAACAGTTGGTGGTGCAGGAGGCATTGCTGACAATCTTGAGGGAGTTGTCATACTTCTTGTGGTTTGCGCCCATCACAAACATGGGGGCATTAGCAGAAGGGACAAAGATGATTGCCTTTTTGGTATCACCCTTCAAGTGAGCCCCAGCCTTCTCCAAGGTTTTGAAGACACTAGTGGACTCTACAACATATTCAGCACCAGCATCACCCCACTTGAAGTTGGCGGGATCTCACTCCTGGAAGACAGAGATGGGCTTCCCATTGATGATAAGCTTCCCATTCTCAGCCTTGACAGTACCATTGAACTTGCCATGGGTGGAATCATACTGAAACATGTGGACCATGTAGATGAGGTCAATGAAGGGATCATTGATGGCAACAACCTCCACTTTGCCAGAGTTAACAGCAGCCCTGGTGACCGAGCACCCAATATAGCCAAATCTGTTGACTCTGACTGCAAGAGAAGCTGCGGCTGCCTGTTGAACAGGGAGAAGAGAGCCCAAAATAACCTTTTTATGGCCTATTTTTTTCTCATGTATAATTGTTATTAGGTACTATCAAGTCGGTGCCAACTGATCATGACCCTATGCACAACAGAATGAAACATTGCCTGGTCCTGTGCCAACCTCACAATTGTGCTACATTTGAAGCCATTGCGGTTGCCACTGTGCCATTCCATCTTGTTGGGAAAATTCCTCCTTTTTTCTGACCCTCCACTTTACCCAGCATGATGTCCTTTTCCAGAGACTGGTCCCTCTTGGTAGCATGTGGAAAGTATGAGAGATGAAGTCTGGCTGTCCTGGCTTCTAAGAAACATTCTGGCTGTACTTCTTCTATCATGCATACTATGGATGTAAAAATAGCATCTACTCTGAAGAGTTATTGGGAGAAATAAATAATAGAGTCTCTGCAAACTGCTGAGCTCTGGCAAGCACGGAGTAAGTCCTGAAACATTTGAAGTATTGTTTGTTGGTTGGCTGGTTTTGTGACTGCTGTTGTTTAAGTTCCAGTGTGTTTCTGTGTGGCTCTGATGCTACTTATACTACTAACGTGGAATGAATGGAAATTTTTTGTTTTAGACACTTTATTGGGATTCATGGATAAAAGTCAGCAAAGTCTTTTAACCAGATTGTGTTGTTGTTGTTGTGTGCCGTAGTGTCGGTTCCGACTCATAGCGACCCTGTACAGGGTTTCCGAGGCTGTAAACCTTTACGGAAGCAGAAAGCCTCCTCTTTCTCCCACAGAACAGCTGGTCGTTTCGAACTGCTGACCTTGAGGTTAACAGCCCGATTCGTAACCACTACGCTACCAGAGCTCCTTCTTGTTGTTAGGTGCTGTCAAGTAGATTCTGACTCATAGTGACCCTATGAACAACAGAATGAAGCACTGCCTGATCCTGC